ACACTGTGTGTCGTCTCTTTCATGACATTTGAAGTGTGTGCGTTTGAATTTATGGCCTCATTGCTTGGTGTTGTTCCGACTGTGAGGAACGTGTAACAGACTGAAAAGGAAAAACCTGCATTTTAACGAGGTGAGAGTAGCAAGGGAGTGAACACATCCCATCAGCTCACAACACGACATACACACCACATGATAACACTGCTTCAACGCTCATGTGTGACTGACTGTCATGAGGCAAATGTCAGCAGAACAGTGTGGAGCAGATGATCTCTTATTCAGCTCACATCAGTTGGTTTGCTTTGTGTAGAACTGGTGACTGAGGCTCATCAGTGACTGACTGCTGAGAGACTAAGTTTCATCCTTTCAGCTTCATAAGAGTGGAACATTTTGATTAAATAACCTTTTCTAATGCTACATTTTGGAGTTGGAAATGGAACASAAGACACAGACATTTGAGTTAATGGGATTCAGTTATAACRGTCWGGTTGGTCTAATRATTAAACAGCTTTTTCTTCTCYGCTCTTTGTTTTTGTCCTGATTCAATGACRTGTATCTCAGATTCTCCTTTAAAGCCATTTCAGTATCAAATTATTCAAATATTGTAGCTACTACATGTAACATCACAGTGGTCTATAATGTATTACAACACAGTCCTTTATTGTGATACATTTCCTGCTTTTCTACACCAACAAACCTCTGGGATAAGTAAGGAAACAGGCCCCTGCACATGTCTACATTAGACTGAGGCTACTATAAAATCCATCAAATAGATCAGCAACAGTATAGAAGTGAGCAAATCAGAGCAGGAAATTATGAGAATATATGTTTCATTTAAGAAATAGATTTATATAAACATTATTAAGCTGAAGTCAGGACTATTTAATGTACAACTGTATTTTGAACCATTTAGTTTGGATTCTTTTTCTAGACTGGATTATTGTAATTCTTCATCAGATGTTCCAGTTGGTCTGTAAAATCTAGAATAGAACACAATCCTGCTCCTCACATAAAAAGCCCTTGATAATCAAGCCCCATCATATATTAACAAGCTCGTAGGACTGTATTGTGCCTGGTTTTAAGAAATATGGAACAGTAGAGAGGAGTTTCATCTCTCAGAGAACAAGAGTTACAATGTCAGCAAAGGCCAAAGGGAAAAAAAAATCCATCACCAGCAGGCAACAAAACCATTGGGTTTGAAGTTTTGAACTCATTTTTTTGTGAGCCTTTGGATCCAAACCATGGCACGAGCCTTCACCTCCACCCAAGCAGAGCTCAGCCACCAGAGCTCCTCACATTTCTTGACTCATGCATTCAGTTTCTCCTCTGCCACCATCTGTAGGTGAAAACTGGTGCTCACTTCTGAGTTCTATCAGTCATTCAGAACAGACATTTAGCACCATCTGCTCTGTCAGTCACACTGTTACCTCGGCTGAATCTTTGTAACATTTAAAAACTTATATTTGTGCTATATTATTTCTAATTTCATGTTGCAAATCAACTGATCCATGTTAGAGTTTACAAAATTAACTACCGGCCCATAGATGACTGAGTTGACTCAAAATGCATAATCATTTAGTTGCGTCGGTCTAAAGTCTGTGAACCAGTATTGATGCAAAGTCTGCATAAGGAATTAAGTGACAATTTGGTTCTGAGTGAACTAAATAAGCTAGAGTAGTCTCACATATCATTGTTTATAACACACGTTTATTGCTGGACAGGATAAAAACATTTTTAAGTGTGTACCCACCTCTCCAGGCACCACTATACCACTGACTGCTGACATTGAACGAGAGGAGGGTCCACCCTGTCACCAGTGTCAACGTATAGAGACAAACAACTCTTCACTTCCATATTCACACCTGTCATTTTAGAGTCTCCAATCACCCTAATCCCAATCTGCATGTATTTGGACGTAAAGATGGGGAGAACATGCAAACTCCACACACAAAGACTCCAGCCAAACTAATAACCAACCAACCAATAACCTTCCTACTGTGAGGTGACAGTGCTAGCCTGCATTTGTTACTGCAAATGTATAGAAATGTAAAGTATATACAGAGATTTCCCACCTTGGGTATTCAAACCACATATCTGCCATACTAATCCCAGCATACAAATTCTGGAACTTTCTAGATTAATGACTAATTAGAGGAGGCTCAGCAGGAGCACATGCGCTGCATTCAGAAGCATATCTCAATGTAATAGGAAATAATCTGTCACTTCAGTACCAGTGAAGCAAAACAGAATTATGCACCATGAATCAATTGTCTTTAAAGACAGCAGACACATGGTGCTTGTGGAAGAGCATCCAGGTCATCACAAACTATTGGCCCAAAGCAAAATAACAAACTGTTCAGTCTCCATAAAACCAAATTATCTGTGTAGGAATGAACAGGTTTATTCGAGCTGATATCAGTATGTTAGTCTTGATTAGCTGAGCCATGAGCACTGTGTGATTCAAGCTAATTCAGGCTCCATAAATCCTCCTCTTTCCCTTTTTAAAGCACTTATTGCACACGCTTGAATGAGGGTCGAACACAAGCTTGTAGTTTCCACCTGTTGTCACCTCTCTCTATGCCAGAGCCCTCTGCTGTCAACAGCCTCTTCACGTCACACTCACCTGACACTGTAAAACCTTCTGTGTGTGTGTGTGTTTGTTTGTTTGCGTGCGTCTAAATGTTTTTTGCTTTTGAATAGTTATACTCCCACTGCTACAGTATCTTTGTCGCAGCCTGTCCACAATACAGCAGCTCTTTTCTCTTCTTCAGTTCAAGGCTTGTGATATTAGTGATTTGTTTTATTTGCTTAATACTTGTTTGTTTTGAAGGTGTTGCCCTGTTATGCATTTAGAAATGTTTTATATACATAAAAAACGTTTGTCCTATAATCATTGTTATTATTATTTTATATAGATTAAACAATATATGCTTTATAAATGACAGGATGTAAAATATAAAGTAACTGCAAATGTTTGAATGCTTCTTTAAAGGGATAGTTAGCCTAAATATCCGCAGACCACGTGTGAACACAGCTCCAGATGAGGATATCCGTGTGACTAACTCACAACATTTATTTTTCTAGACCATCACATGTTTGTCGTAGGATAGCAGGTTACACCTACCAGGTCTCTTACAACTATATACAGTACGTACCCCAAAACTACACCCCTGTACACTGTCGTTTAGATAGTAACTGATACAATCAATCTTGATTGTAATATCTTCAAGTTGAAATGAAGCGTATTTAATCTTATGTATAATTATAGCAGTTTTTTAGCAGTTTACTACCATAGAAACACAGCAACATCAGTGTTTAGGACAAACAAGAAGAGCCATACAACCAGTAGGAGAAGGTGCAGTGTCCAGCAGACACATGATTCCCTGTTTATACAACTTTGAACTGATAAACAGATGATTCTGATTTGGCACAAGACACATGACTAATGAAAGTGGTGTCTTAGTGACTGATCAATGTGGAGGACTTATCATAAAGACAGCCTCTGCATACAATGTCCAACAGTTACTCACTCTTCACAAAACTGCAGATAATAGGGCTGATGAATGTTGGCAGCTTCTTTGGTTCAATGAAACCAAGATAACATTAATGATGTCAGATGAAGTCCAGCAGGTTTGGCCTGGACCTGACCAGGATCACCACAGCGACTGCAGTGCCCACATTGAGTATAATGATGGGACTGCAGAGGAGCAAATAGTGCAGGGGGATGCTTATAGATGGAATTATGAAGGTTTGTACTCAAATCCCAATCTCAAGGTTTACAGAACATGACAACGATCAAAAACACACAGCAGAAACCACACAAAGGTTTTGAAGAGGACAACAGGGAAATTAAATGTGATGCTTACTTTACTTGCTACTTCACTAGAGTAAGAGCAGCTGAATAGAATCTTCTGTGAGGAGGATCTACACACTTGTTTATGAGAGAAATCATCCAGGATGGAAGAACTGAAAGAGACAAAATGTACTTCTGCAAGTATTGTGCTTTTTAAAGCATTAACACACACGCTTTATGTATTTTCTGTTTATGTATATATTTACTGAGCCACAATAATATTTTTTTTTTCGTTTATAACTGAATAAATAATTTCTCACTGTAACTTGTCATGCCACTCATCATAGCACACAAAAAGGTTTATTGTATTTCAGTATTGCCTGCCAGAGGGCAGCGCACAAGTGCCGTGATGAGTTTTCGTGAGGTGAGAGGGAGCTTCTTCCTTTTTTTTTCAATCAGTTTCTCAGTGACAATCTACTGTCATATTGTTGGGCCCATAGGTTGGCTTGTTGATAGCAACTGATAACAGCAGATCTTCCACATTAATACAGTTTCCTGTTGGCACTTTGGCTGTGCATTCTTTATTTAAATTACTCTGGCTTCCTCCAACAGTCCATTGACTTTAGACTTGAATGTGAATGTAAATAGTTGCTTGTTTATGTGTGTTTTGATTGACTGTTGTCTTGTCCAGCATGTACAAATATCAGCTGGATCGAAAGAAACATAAGCTCCAGTCCCCCTGCACCCCTAAGTCAAAATAAAGTTAAAATAAACTTTATGTTAAAAAAAACAATGTATACTTTGCAGAATCGTTCATTCCCAGGGTCCCATTTGATTGTTGGTTGGTTGCCCCTAACTTTCACTTTCAACTTGACTTTCCCTTTATTTACTGCCCCACATACAAATATCTACATAGTCTCTGACATGCACTTTCCAACTTGGAAAGTGACCACGAAGAACTTTCTTTTTGGTAACCTAAGATCAAGCAGGATTTTACTTTACCATAGTGAACCCAAGCTGGGCTTTAAACCTAGCTGTTATAAAGTAACTGGCCAGCATTAGCCACTAAACTAAACCAGCTCTACACCTCTGTCAGGAATAAAATATTCTTCTTCTTCTCACGTTTTCCAGTGCAGATTATATGTACATTCTGGACCAATACCCACAACTAAGTTACATCTTAGCATTCCACATAATTCACAGTGGGTGTTGGTCAGTTATCCACTGAGCTACCCTCCCTGATCGCAGCTACACAGTGTCCTCCTCTAGCTCGGTCTGTGCTGAAGTCTAGAGAGGCCACGAGAACTTCACGTCACTGAAGGGGGACCTCAGGCAGCCCAGCACCTCCCCCACAGAGAAGAGCTTCCTGGTTCCTGCTGCCAGGGGCTTTCTGGACCTTCGGGATTGGCCCTCACCAAGTCAGCTGTCCTGAGGGGAGGAGGACAGATATTTGTCATTTGTATGCAGATTTATGGCATCTGCAGTTTTTACAAAACCACATTTACTAAACCATGGCTCTTACATGCCTTTCATTGTAATCTGGATTTCATTTTATAGAATGAACCATTTTCAATAGTAGATCTTTAACAACAATTTTTTCAAGTTTTGATAAAAATCTTTGAGTGACTGTATATCGGTTTGGTGCCATAAGATTGATCCTTTAAACTTTAGCCCGTTGCTCTATCAGAAGAAATATAATACTATGTTGTTTATCTTCTCTCTTAAGTTTGAACCCCAACAAACTTCAGTACATTGCAGTAGAGCACTTTGAGTTATCATCAAGACTAGGAAAGCACTATATATATATATATATAAATATATATATAGTTTAAACTGAACAAGACATAAGCTATATTATACATAGTTGGCAACTGATGATCACCAAATTTTGCTGGGTGAGAAAGTCAACACTTTATTTAAATGCTCCAAACTGGCAGCAAAGTGGCGCACTGATACAACTGACAGTTGCATTTCAAAGGGGGAACTATTGGATCATGTATCCTCCATCTCTCTCGCCATCATTTAATCAACTGCTGACACCTAATTAAATGTATAAAATGGCCTCCAACACCAAAACATTAGAAGGGACTATAAAGGTATATCTGTAATCTACACCTCACTGTTTAAAAAAAATGAAGCGAATGAACAGGCAGACAAAAAATCCCAATGCTCATGCTATAACGAGTAAGATAGGCCACTATGACAACCTTCCAGCTTCTAGCTGTAAAATACTGTTTCAGAGTACTTTAAACTGCTAAGCAGTGTTTTCGAACGGAGCTTCCCAGAGTTTATGCCACAACAGGGAAAAAATACATCTCCAAAAGTGGAAGTATTTGTTTTGTTTTAACATGTTTGATTTCTGTCTGCCACCAGGAGGCATCATAGGCCATTTTGAGGTATGAACTCTGCTGGTGATGAATCTCTGCTCAGACTTTCACAACAACACAGAAATCTACAGAGCATTTAGGTGAGGGGTGCAGCAACAGGCTGAGGCAGGACATGACGTATGAATTCCACTGCAAAGATTGTGTGTTTTTGTTTGTAGCACATTGACACGAGCATTGGTTAGCACATCAACATCTTTATTGGTGTCCTTTCTCTATCATACATCACTCAAACAATGCTGGTTCAGCCGTCACGGCCAATTTCTGGTTTAGTATCTAGCCCAAAGACACTTTCGCAGAATGAAGGAGACAGGGACTGAACCACCAAATCTAGTTGTAGACGACCCACTCTACCACCCTGGTGAGTGGACCTTGGTTTTTAATTATTTTGGCATGCTCAAGAAATGGACTTCCATGCTTAAGTTTGAAGTAACTGATTCCACCATCACATGTTTCATTTCGACATGTGCCATATTTAGGTTGTCTCAAGAAGAATATAGTGATGTCTTATTTATATTAAAAGATTAAACATCATATTTACATAAAATTTCGCATTACCTTCTCTCTGAGTGTAATCCCGTTCTTTACAAGCTCCCCTGAGCTGTCTAACTTCTCTTGAGACTCCAGACTGCACCGTGGGGAATCCGTCTGGTGCTGCCTGCCATTTTGGTTTTCCCAGCAGGCAAAACCTTTATTTTTAGATGTCTTCCTGTGAGTCCTGTATTTCATTTTAGGGAAGGTATGGGAGCCGCCATCTGTGGCCCCCCAGTTGTGTTCCGGCCACAGGGGCTCGGTCTGGGTGGCCTGGCTGGTGGTGGCCCTCTGGAGGCGCACGGATATTCTCTGGGCTGAACCAGTCATCAGGGTGATGGACTGAGTGTCCAGAGCTGCACCTGCTGATGTGACAGCTGGAAACTCAAACACCTCATCCTCATCTAAAGGAGGAAACACAGAAGATTATGAAGAAATGAATTCTAAGATAGTGAGTACAATTTATTATGTAAAATAAAAGCATAATATAATAAACTGTAATCACCTCATACACTGCACTAAATATTTGTTCTTTAAACAACATACAGAAGAGGAAAAACTTTGAAATAGTCTTAGTTCTGCCTCCGAGACAGTAAGTGTAACTTAATGTAAAAGAAGTTGTATCTTATTAAAGTATGACAATATTCTGCACTTCTCTCTACTTGTGTTCTTGCAAACTTTTGTTACTTAAGTATTTGCTGCTTTCAAGTGGAACTCATTAGCTTGTGGTTATATGGGAAGTTGTGCACACTATTGTGTTGGCCGTGTGGTGGTTAAGTCACAAGAACACTGCTGCTAGGCAAAAGCAATATAAACGCTAATATTAACATTACTGTTGGCATCTAAAAGCTACAGAGGCTAACATTGTAGCAAACTAGCAGACAGGTAACATAATGCAGGAAACTGTGATGAAATAACTCAATATCCCTGAGTGTTCTCTCTGCCTGTTTCATTGAGAATACAATAGGAGTTTATGTGTGGACTTGGGCCAGAACCAGCAATGATGGCAAATAATTAGAGCTATTCTCAAAGCTGCCGCAATTTTCATCCTGGGACAGTTATTAAAGTCACTGTTATGATTTCAAATAGTTTATTCAAACAAAAAATTTGATTTGGTGTTTTTGCAGATCCCTATCATAGCCAACCAGGTCACGTACAAATACGTAAAATAGTCTAAATTAGTCTTTATAATCAGGTTGAAAGGTATCCATAATATTTAGCAGCATAATTGGTCATGTCCGGTTTCACAACATATGAATGCATTACAGCATGTTTGTTTGTTTGTTTGTTTGAAACAGACCTTTACAGGTGGGCAGTGCAGGGCTGCTGGGTAGTGAGCTGTGGGTCAGTCTGGCAGGGGAAACACTGCCCACAGAGCCGGAGCGGATCAGCTTCCTACAGGCCAGAACCAGTAGCTCCCGACACTGTTTATGACAATTAACGCCACAGTCTGCAAAGCAAATGAAGACAGGTCACGTTCAGGCCAAAAGTGTTTGTGAGCTTCACAATCCACTGATGACCTTGAAAAAAACCAAGACGCCCTGAGAAACAGTTTTGCAACGCATGCTCCTAAGATAGTTGATTATCTTTAGTTACCCTTTGTTATTTTGCTACTTTGTACATAATGTAATGACTAAATGCAAGGCCACCTCATATACACACATTCACACCATACGCAAACATTCAGCCACCAGGACCCCAAAGGTGTTCAACTCATGGTAAGAAGATAATAAATATGTGCATGTTGGAAGTCTGACTGGCACTAATATATAAAGGAGGAACAGAAGCCAGAACAAAAGTTGAAAAACTCTCAGCAAGAACACTTCACTCATTGAATTATTGTTGAATTATGAATTAATATTGAAACGCAATATTGGAGGAGAGGAATATTTCCATGCAAGCCACTCACTTTCATCTCTCCTACAAACATGCACGGAAGGACCGTGGATGCCTTAACACCGCAGCCAGTATTAAACTGACGTGCACAATTGGACATTAACACGCATTTTCAACATAACGAAATGGAAGAGAAACTTGATCAGCAAAGGAATGCAAGAAAGGGTCACGTTTTTGGAATAAGATATGACAATAGAACCAATTTTGTGTCAACAGACAGAGGACTGAGAGAAGCTCTGACAACTTTGAATCAAAACAAAATAGAGCAAGAACTACAGCAAAAGGGAGTGAAATGGACATTCAATCCTCCTGCAGCTGCACACTTTGGAGGCGTATGGGAGGTTGATTAGATCATTGAAAATAATTTTGTGCACCATCACAAGGAAACAAACTCTTGATGATGAAAGTCTTTCCACAGTAATGTGTGAAATAGAAGCAAAATTGAACAGTGGTCCATTAACAACCCTATCAGAAGATGTCAATGATCTCGAACCCCTCACTCCAAATCACCTGCTTGTACTGAAGTCACAACAGATCCTTCCACCTGGACTTTTCAGGAAAGATAATGTATATGCTTGTCGTTGATGGAGACAAGTACAATACATTTCAGACTTATTCTGGTCAAGATGGACAAAGGAATATCTTCCACTCATGCAAGAACGACACAAGTGGAACAGAAAAAGAGGAACTTCAGCAAAGGAGACGTTCCTGGGTTATGGCCACGTTTTGTAGACACTAAACCAGACTACAGAGGGTTGGTGAGAAGTGTGAAACTTCAGACAAGAACAAGTATGCTCAAGCAGCCAGTCAACAAGATTTGTCTGCTGGTTGCTGCATCTGTGGAGGACTGAAGAAAGGTCCCATACTCAAATACCACATATATAACAATGCAAGATAAACTTTTGTCGACTTCACTCGAATGTTTAGTTTCTTCACTTGGTTGTTTGATTTTCCTTTTGGGCAGGTTTTGACAACACCCTGCAGTGTATTGATTAGCACAGATAATTATCTAATCGCTCCCTCTCTTGGATGCAGAAACGTGCTGGACCCAAGTGAAGCAGCCACTGATGCAAGAAGAAACACCAGATTTACGTATAGAAAAATGTTTTTTTTTTTTTTATAGGGTTTGTGAGCAGCAGGCTCTGGTTTGTGCTGGGAAACGTATAGTGACAGGAGACCTGCTAAAGATTTGTAAGTAGTTTGTTAAAACGTATAAAACAAATAAACAGCTTAATAGCTTTGTTTTTTATGGCCTTCAAAGAAGAAGACAATGAAACTGTACCTTTGCACTTGTAGCCCTGTTTGATGATTCCCCAGAGCTGCAGACCCAGAAATGTGTGGAAGTGCGGGATGTGGAAACAGAAAATCCAAAAAAAGATAAAAAAGAAATTAGATAATGAAGAAGAGCAACATTTTTTAAAGACAAACACGACTCGTCATAAACAGGATGTAATCCTTCACTACATGTCCTGTAATCCTGTGACTTCCTGTGTCTTTGTTCAGGACATTGTCATACATGCTGGTGAGGGAGGCATGCAGGCAGGTCAGTTACATTACAGGAGACATAAATAGTGCAGTGACAGGATGTTAGAGATACACACAAATCCAGCACAATGTTCACAGAAAGTGGGCTTCAGGTAAGTCATCTCCTGGAAGTTGTGGATGAATCCTGGTCCCATCTTACACTGGAGCAGTGGGTTAGCCCGAAGAAAATAGGCTATCATTTCATCCTTACTGATTAGTCCATCTCTGAGAGAAAGACACGGAGGAAGATGAAAGAAAGAAAGAGAGAAGACAGTCATTAACATTTTTCTATTAATACCTAAGATTCAACAATAAGAACCTAGAAATGTAATGGTTAGCCCCCAAATTTTCTCTCATGCTTCTTTATCACAATGCCTCTCTACCTGTAATCACCTCTGCATCTTATACAAGGTCCATGATAAGCAGCAGTTTTTTTTTATCATGTTTTACTTTTTAACTTAATTTTCCATTCAATGGACACAAAAAATGTATTTTTATCATTAATTTCACAATTTTATAATTGTGTTGCATTTGTTTTGGAGACAACATTTGTGAGCTACATGCTAATTTTAGTAGTTGAGCAATGACAACCCAAGAATATTAATTAATAGTAATAGTAAAATACATTGCAAGGTACTTCAAGGTACTTGTTGATGATTTAAAGGTTCAGTGTGTAGAATTTTGTGACATCTAGTGTTGAAATTGCATGTTGCAGCTGAACACCCCTCACCTCACCCTCACCTCACCCTCTCCTTCCAAACATGAAAAAGAACCTGTGGTAGCCTTTAATTGTCATAAAAACTCAAAAGGTGTTTAGTTTGTTCAGTCTGGACTAATGTAAAAAACATGGTGGCCTCCGTAGAGAGGGTCCCCATGATGTAAATATAAAGTATTTGAATATAAAGGGGCTTTTCTGGGGTAAAGAAAACTACAATTCATACAATTTAGATGAAATGAACAAGTGAAAACATCATGAGGATTATTCTACATTACATTTCTGCCAATAGATCCCTTTCACCTAAATCTTACACACTGGACCTTCAATTAAAATCATCAACAACTGCACTCATTATTCTGCTGTGTATGTTAAAACACAACAATAGAAAGTAACTTAGCTTAACTGTAGTAAATGTTATATGATTTTGAAAGCCATTGTGAAATCTGACTAAACTAGGAGTGTTTCTACATTTGGTACTGCAGAACATGCATTGACAATTAAGGAAAGCAAGGTGGAGGTCAGTGAAATATTACAGGTAAAAAGTGCAGTTACTGTTTATAATTATTTTCCACACTCACTGATCTTTGTCCAATACGCAGAAGGAGTCCAGGAAGGGAAAATTGGCAGCGATGCTCTCAAAGTCCTCTTGAGAAATATATCCATCGTGGTCATGGTCATAATTCCTAAAGACAGACTTCCCAAAACCAGACAAGAAACACATCACTCCAGAAACATGTCATACACATCTACCTTGTTTGATTGTTGCTTTTCTGTGCATATTTTAGTCATAAAACGGATGGTCTACTCACATCCACGACCTTCCTGATGTGTTTATTGACTACAGAGGGGTCTGGTTTGGTGGTGATACCTGAGGCCCAGTCAAGTGGGGCCAGGGGCTTATTGGGAGTCGTTGGAGAAGACAGCTATGAAAAGAATTCACATACACAGGACTCAAAGGACAGAGAAAAACTGAAATATCACCTGACAAAAGTTAATGAATTCAGACGCTTTGCTATGACACTAAGTTTAGCTCAGTCACCTCTTGATCATCTTTCAGATTGTATTTTTCTGACTCTTTTTGAAGGTTAAGGACAGAGGATGCTGCACCTTGTTAATCCTCATAAGACAGATTGTGATTTGTAAATAGAATTTGTCAATCAATTGGTTGATTGATTGAAAGTGGACTCTATTAAGAGCTGGCTGCAGACCCTGAACAAACATGATTTAATTTCCATCCCATATGAAGAATGCAAAAAGAGGAGGTTCTCCATGAACTACATGGTGCCCCCACCACCTCGAACTGTTTGATGGTCACGTCTGGCCCATGTACTTAAAACACAAGAAGCTCCGGAAGAGAGCCTCCTGAGTTTCTGCAGACTTTCTACACCTGACCCCTAGTATAAAGTCAGCAGCAAGGCTGGAGGAGCTGATGTGTGAACGCAGCAGGAGATCCCCCGCAGAATGCTCAGCAAGCGAGTGGGGGGGGGTTGGAGATGCTTCTTACACGCAACAGACACAAAAATGAAAAATAAATGAATAAATAAAGCATATCTCATGATGAAAAACCAGTGACAGAGACGAAGATTTCAAGAGAGTTTGTCCTCAGCAGAATGAATACGTTCCATCCTGCCCCTGCCTGATGCACAACCCGTTGTTTTGAACAGGTCTGAGCAGAGAATCTCACGCTCCGTTGTTCATGTGTGAAAGGCAAGCTGCGGAGAAAGTCCAGACCCAACCCCCCTGAGATCGTCCGCGGGTCATGTCTGAAAACAGCTTGTCACTCTCTTACTAAGCTCCAGAGAATCTGTGTGGAGATGGGAGAAACTTGTAGAAGGCAACTATTACTGGAGCACTTCATCAACCTAGACTTTATGGCAGAGTGGAAGCATCTCTTCAGTGAATTAAACATGGAAGCAGCTAAAGAAGCTAAAGGACTCGACTCGACACGATCCTTTGGTCTGATGAAACCAATATTTAACTGTTCGACCACAGTTCTATGTATCATGTCTGGAGGAAACCGGGCACCAGTCATTGAGCATGTTGGTGATATCTTCAATCTGTGCTGTGTTTTTCAGCAGCAGGGATGGGGAGACATGAATCAGTTTGTTGAAACTGGACTCAATTAGTATGGAAAACCCAGAGCACAAAATACAATCCATGGCAGTTGACACTTACCAATGATTTTGGGTTACGTGGTTCCCTGAGCAATGACAGCTCATAAATCTCATCTTCTGTGTAATAAAGGTCGAGAGAAAGCTAAAAACACAAGGATCATGGATTTGATTAGTTCATCAATCATTCTATAGATGCTAGCAATTTTGTAAATGTGATTCAATAGACTAGAACTTTCTAATAGATCGCCTTGTATGTTTCTATTATTTCAGAGTTGAATTTCTCCCTCATATTACAGTGTCCCTACTCCATTTAATGAGTACAATCTACAGAGCACTATCGAGAAGTCTTCAAAAATTTTTAAAAAACAGCTCCATTTTGGATGACAGTTTGCGGCAAGTGAGCAGATTGCTTAGGATGTTTATCTAACAGCTGTTTTCAGTGGGATGGTAATCCCTCACCGTTAGCAGGTAGATGAGATCCATGTTGGGTTCCACTTGAGCTGCTGCACTTTGCAATGACACCAGCTCATTGAAGGTCATGTAAAGCTGATTCATCTTCACCAGGTTCACTTTATTACTGTTGTCAACCCAGTCAGGAAAGACAACATGCACTGCAATGAGGTCTTTGAGGTGCACACCCAAGATGGGGATTTTAAAGCCCTGACTCTCGCTGAAGGCCTTGCGATAGCAGGAGTAGTTGTTGCTGGAAGACACCAACTCCGTCATCTCACTCCAGATCTGAAGCAGGGGGTGGAAGATTTGGGTAAGTATCATGGCCATATCAGAGACTTGATCAGGAAAAGCATTTCATTAGTTCTATCTCTGATACTGTGAACCATCTGATTCTTTTAAATAGAATATGTGTGGGTCTAATCATTGTACTTGGCCCTTCACCTCAGTAAAACATTGTCTGACCAGATAATTACCTTGGATGGCATTAGCTTTGCCTCCTTTCACTTGCGCAATATCATTAAAATTAGACACCTCCTATCTCCTTACTATGCAAAGAGCCTTGATGTACGTATGTTATGATCTGGCGCTATACAAATAAAAATTTATTGAGTGGAATACACATATTGAATTACATCAAAAACCTTACCTTCACAACCTCTGGGGCCAGATAAGAGTGAGTCTCCTTAAGTCGAGATATGGAGCTGTGGCTCAGTCCCCCCACCACCGCCATCAGAGTGTTGAAGTTCTGCAGCTGCAGAAGTTTCTGATTAGAGAGAGAAGGTCGTGGAATTTTATACTTCTTTACTGCTGATCACACCACTGAATTCATCTGTTAACATAATACAATATTATGAAACATTTTAAAAATAAAGGACAGACTTTAAAGGTCCAGTGTGTAAGATTTAGTTGAAAGGGATCTATTGGCAGAAATTTAATGTAGAATAATCCTCATGATGTTTTCACTAGTTCGTTTCATCTAAATTGTATGAGTTGTAGTTTTCTTTTCTTTATCCCTTTATATTTAATACTTTATATTTAAATCGACCCTCTTTACAGAGGCCGCCATGTTTTTTACATTAGTCCAGACTGGACAAACAAAACACCTTTTGAGTTTTTATGACAACTGAAGCTACCACAAAAAATGTGGATAAATGGTATACAGAATTATCTTTGACCCAGTGTTAGTAATATTTTTTCATATAGATTTGGGTTATTTGATCCACACAATAAGCTCAGGTTTTAACTTGAAACTGAATACCCGAAACACTCCGCCCCATATACTGGAACATTTACTTCTCATCATATGTGATATGTGTTAATTTAAACCATATTGATATTACATATGATGAGAAGTAAATGTTCCAGTATATGGGGCGGAGTGTTTCGGGTATTCAGTCTGTCTACTTATTCTTACACTCATAGTATATTATCTATTGTATAGTTAAATACTTATATTTATACCTCTACTATATATCATATTATATTATATCATACTCTGTATATTCTTTGTATATATAAGTCTATATACACATATTTATACATGTGTACATGTTATTATTATTATATTATTACTACTATTATTTTCATTATTAGATATACTGTTGCTGCCATTATTACTATATACTGTTATTATATCGGTATAATTACTATCTATATAAATATATATAATGTTATATTATATACTATATATATATACTGTACTATTTTTATATACTGTCTAACAATAACATTACCATCATATCATCAGTACTATTACCATCATATTGCCACTGCACGTTATCTTATCTWMYTCATCTTGTGTTTCTGTTTTTATTCTTTCTACCTCAATATTTTATTTTATTCTATTGTATTGTATTTTACTGTATTCAAATATACCAGCTGCTATGACGACTTAATTTTCCTTCGGGGATGAATAAAGTAATCTATCTATCTATCTATTATAACCTTTTGCCCATTTATTCAATAGATCCCTGTCACCTGAATCTTAGACACTGAACTTTTAAAAGGTGACAGGCTGAGTGAACACCTGCATGAACCTGCACAAACACTATGGTGCTTTGTGCTTTCTGTGCTGTGGTGCCATACACACTCTTCCCTCCAGGACAGAAAACTACAGACTTTCATCACCAAAAAAGTAAACCTTATCTTGCACCTTTAATATCCCATGATTACAGGAAAATATCTAAGAGCTTACTAAGAGGTTATGAGGAGGATTTTAACATGAGCTGGACAAAATGATCTCAATAGAACCTCAGGCGCATCAGGTTAAATCTAGATACTATTTGGATATGAAATACATCTTAATTGCATGTGTATATGGAGTTAAGTGGGTTTTAGTTTCAGCTGGCGAGGGAGTTCAGGATGGGATGTGCAGGCCTGCTAGTTCAATCCCCACCTCCTCCTGTCCACATGTCAAAGTGCTCTTGGCCAAGAGATTGAACCCCTATTACTCGTGATGGGCAGGTCAGTGTTTTGCATGGCACCACCATCCGTGTGAATCTGTGTAAAGATGTGAACTAGAAAAGCAATTTCCCCGTTTAAAAAACTCTTTTTAAATGAAATCCAATTGCAATTTAGCATGTGGACGCTAATCAGCCTCCTTCCTTAGCTTTGCAAATACAAACAGGGTCCCTCCCTGTTTGTATCATTATTGGAGGAACAGAATTTTAGTCACTTAAAGTCATTTTCATATTTAGAGAAAAAACAGTAAAAGTGAAAATCCTCAACATCAACTACCTCCTGCTTATCTTACCTGAGCCACATGGATATATTTGGTGATGACTTCTGCACGGGTCTGAGGGGTTAGCTTGCTGAGCACCATGAGCTGGACCCACTGAGACACACCATTAAACAGCGCAATGGAACGCTCCAGAGTTGGGTTGTCTACGAGGCAGCCGTGGATCACATAGCTCTGGTAATCAGTGAACTGGAGACAAAAGAGATTTACAGATGAGATGTCACTTTTCAATAGTTTCTGCACAGTGGCATGGTCTTAAAAGGTTTACATTCAATTCAATACAATTCAATTTAATTTGTATAGCACCAAATCATAATATACATTATCTCAAGGCACTTTGCATAGAAGGTCAAGACCTTAAAATCGTATTAATATAGAGAAACCCAACAGTTCCCACAATGAGCAGCACTTTGGAGACTGTGGAGAGGCCAGAGAGACTAAGAACACTTGAGCACCATCAGGTATCAGCTCCGACTAGTTAAAATGAAAACAATAACAGTGTCTCTAACTATAGGCTTTATCAAAAAGGTTTTAAATTTAACTTTATATGCAGAGATGGTGTCTGCCTCTCAATCCCAGAGTGTGAGCTGGTTCCTAAGGAGAGGAGCCTGGTAGCTGAATGCTCTACCTCCTGTTCTACTCTTACAGACTCTTGGAACCACAAGAGAGCCTCTGTTTTGGGAACAAAGTGATAATACGTTGTTATGAGCTCTTTGATATATGAAGGGGCTTGATTGCTTTAAATGTGAGGAGCAGGACCCTTTCCTTTTAAATCAAGTAAGCTTTTACTGTGGTGGATGGATATCATAAGGAAAGATATGACATGCACTAATTATTTCTGAAATAAAAGTACAGCAGAAGCAGATGGTGCATTTCACAGGTATGTTGGAGCTGAATGAAAAGTCATAGAATCACAAAAACAGTTACAGTTCTGTGGCAAGTTCAAATATCTGTGCTTCTGTAGGCTACTAACTGGGTGCGAAATACATGGGGTCACAGGGGTCTGTGTGTTTTAACTTCATTGTTGCAGAATAAGCGATGCCCTGTTTATCCGGGAACATAAATATGAATTCAGCAGGTTATTATAAAGATCAGTTCTGCATGTGAGTGATTAGAAAAGAGCAGAAGACCAGAGACACTGTCACTGTTAGTTTCGCAGAAATAATTGCACACTGAAATTTAAGCTGTTTACCGATATCCTCCGGATAGACTTGAACTCTAGGAAGGTGAGATGTTCAGCCAGCTCCATTGGCTCGAGGTGGTCAAACAGTAGCGAGGCCTTGCCTTTCTTGGCCTGCTTTTTCCGCTGGGTCAGCTTACGCATCCAGTCATATGATGGACTACAAGGAGAAAAAAATATCCAATATAACAGTTGCAAAATAAGAGACTAGAGACAAATAATTTCTCTATGTGATGTAGGGGGAGTGGTAGCGAGTATTCAGGACCCCCTTAAAAACGAAGGGGAAGATGGAAATTCCTGAATAAATTACAAACAGATAGTAGAATCAAAATGGCAAACACTGCAAGTGAATTGCTCATAATTGTAAGTATGAAATTATGCAAAATAACTATGATTTTTTTGTTTAAAAGTGTCTTATTTCAATCCAGAAGCAAATGAAAATGTCATTGAATCGCTGTAACGAGTGCAACAGGAAAATGGCTATCCACACTGCCAAAATAAGCATTTAATAGTGACGGTCATAACTCCCTGCTCATTTTTCAGTTGAAGTAACCGATGTAAACACACTGACTGACTGTATTAATAAACAGATCAATCTGTCCTGTCTGTCCAGCAGTTCTCAGATATGGTTGTTTATATAATAGTGTTAGTTGGTATTGTTTTTCACTGTAATATCATTGGTCGCTTGTAGTTTTGTTTAGAGGGGGACACTCCCAGCAAAGGGCTGAGGAATTGGGATTTGGCCTAAGTTCCTGCCACAATGAACATGTTACGAATGTACTTGCTAAAAGTGATGTAAATGTAAATGTAAATAGTTATTATAAGTGCGTCTGCATTTGATATCTTACATGGTGGAGATGTCTATGAGTTTGAAATGATCCTCACAGCCGAGCTGAGCAGCCACGTCCCTAAACTCCTCTGTTATTCTGATCAGACCCAAGTCCAGGTTGAACTCTGCAGGGAATGTCACGATCCAGTACCTGAATACACACACTCACATTTATAATAGTGCAGCAAACATTTGGACGCTGAGAAGACATGTGGTATAATGAACCTGCTCCAGACTGGAAAAGGTATTACAATAGAATTTCCACTTAACTTGATAATGACCTTGTGACATGCAACTTATGAAGTTCAGTACTGCTTGTTTCACATTCACAACTTAGAATTGTGATTTTGTCACCCTTTTTGGCCTCCTTCTATAACAGTGTTGCCCTTAAATCTCAGGGTTAGTAACCTGCACACAGACAATGAGCACTGTGATGATGGAAAATAGCTGTGACCTCGGATTTCCAAGTGTGAAAGCTTTAAACTGTAAAAAGAGAAAACTCTAGTCTTGGGTTTAAATTCCTCTGGGTCTGAGAAGTTCAGAGACAAAAGTCTTAATGTGTTGGGATGAATGAATATGTGTGTAGGACCTTACCTCATTAAATAACAAATCTTCAGTCTGGTGTCCTGGCAGCTGTCATCACTGCAGTCACGGTACGTGGGATTAAGTTAAGGGCTTTTTTTTCTTTCACAAGATTTGACAATTAATTACTGACACTTATATGTGTTATTGGCTGTAGTTAACAAATGGGAGGCTCTCCACACCATTCTGGTTCATCTCACCTGAGGGTGCAGCCATGACTGCTTCGTCTAAAGTGTCTATGCAGCCTGTGTTGGTGTCTGCATGCTAACTGCTAAACTGATGGTACTAACATCACTTCTCTGCTCAGATGGCAAACTGATAAACATGTCCTCAAGCAGAGAGACATTATCTTGACCAAAACCATATCTGATAATACTATTTCCAACCACACAATCCGTCACTCACACATCGGCTGGACATGGGTGCGTAGGTGAGATTAAGCAGATTATCAACATCTCTCCCAAGTCACAACATTTGTTTTTTACACAACTACATTTGTTGAAATGTGAAATGTGCTTTATTTGCATGAAATATCAAAAACTATTTTACTACAACGGTACATTAAAGTATCAACATTGATAAATGAATAGCAATAAATAGAGAATAATATGTAAATACCAACTATCACATTGAACACAGCTTGTTAAATTGTATTTAATTTGGCTCTTGAAGGTTTAGGACAGAAAAAGAAAGTTCTGTCTAAAGCACAAGTGTAAGTGTCTAAATTCACTAGTGTAATGGCAGACATTTGCATTGTTCAAAACGCATGTACGTAGTCTGTCATTGGGTGTATTTTGGGTGTAATATAAATATAATACACATACAATGACAAGAGCTGCTTTGGTTATGAGATAGAGCCATCAGACACAGATTATATCTGTGCAAACCATTTCAGCATCCTCATATGTGCACATGTGTTTTATTATCTCTTGGAAGTGTGCTCATAGTGTTACACCTTCAGTTCTAACCTTGGTTCCTCTCTCATATCCACACAGCTGGCAAAGTGTAAACATTGGAATTGTTTATTTTTTAAAAATGCACACAATCAAAAAGGTGTGTTGACTCATTTCTGAAGCAATCTGACAAGCATTTCTAATAAAGCATAATACTGAACAGTGGGACGAAACCAGAGCACTCAAAAGAAAACCATGCAGGCCCAGGTACAACTTGCAAAGCACTTTCTATTTATCAATGAAGCAATGAAAAGGTGAATAAAGGAAGGTATTTTCTCTCATGCTTGGCCTTTATTTTTTATTGCTCAGCTCTCAGAGTCCCAGTCATGGACAACTCTGTCATCACCACTATCTGCCCTCAAGCCAAATGTTTTTTATTCTTTGAATATCATTTTCTTCCAGTTATTCCATCTTTAAGACCTGTTGTGCAACACATGAATCCCTCATCACCACCATGACTTCAGGATTTTGGGTGAAATGACTCCTGCTGCATTTACTCCAACACCGCCAGACTCCAAGGAATCCTGAACTGTCTCCTGACGTTCAGGGTTTAAGTTTTATGGAAATGGTTCAAATCAGAAACTGTCTCTGCTGCAAACTGTTAATTATACTGTGTTTTACATTGAAAACTTTAAGCGGTAGATCTTATCTTTTAATTCATACAAAATAAATGTATTAATTCTATTCCTGCAACGAAATACCAGTTACTTGTCCTTTGTACTGTACTGCAGAGCAGATCTCTTTAATGGTCACTTTGGTGTCCCATTTACACAAGAAGAATTCTCAAATTCTATCTATTTAAGTGAAGGCTTCCATCCACCAATGATTCTGTTAGTCCTTCTGTGAAATACAGTTATACATGTTGGAGACTTCAGGGAGGTAGAGGCAAAGGAAGCTACTCTGACATCTGACAGCACAACAGACCACTTAGTGAGCCAATCCAAGGACATCCGCCCTGGAGAGGATCAATATTGCTCATTTTACATTAACAATATAATAGCGGCAGCCTTACTTCAGCCTGAGTTGAAGTAAAACATAAAGAGCTTTACTAATCATCCGACTTCCACTGTCATAATAAGGTTTAGATTGGATTTCCTGTAAGGGATCACTCTACACTTGGTTAATTAGCTTGTAATATTTTAACATATTGTTAAAGGACTTTGGTTGTATAATAACTTATTTTGCCCATTGGGATATATCATCAGTAGCTTCCCTGCCAGCTCTGAGGATGTCACATACCAACGATGCATCAGCAGTAGTGTTCGAGGAAGCAGGTTGCCCTGCAGCTCCCCATTGTCATCTGTGAAGAGAGCACAAAATGTCACCAATGTTTGACCTGTAACAGTAACTATGTTATCGACCATGAGGGAAGTCATTGTATTATTTTCAGACTATCAGAAAGGATAAGACATGTGAAATTCTTTTTTTCTTTTCCCAATAAATACCTTTCCATCCTTTCGATCAGACAAGTGTATTTAATCTTTTTGTTTTGTGTCATAGAAAGCCACTGTAAAATACATCAATGTGCCACACTGGATGAGTCAGGCCTACACATACCATCCTGCTGCCTCAAATACTCACTTAAGGATTAACTGTGGATTCATCCGCTGCCTAAAATAGTCCTTAAGAAATGAACTATTGCCTCCAGATTCAGTGATGCTTTGTGATAGAAAGATTATTGAGCCTTTTAAAATAAAAAAGAGACTTGATGTCTGTGACCCATGTTTAAAGATACATTTGAAGAAATATGCTGAGTGTCACAGACACCAACCTACCCATAGTTTGATTCCTGGGATTTGATGACATTAAAAAACAAGTAGAATAATGCCAACCTCTTACATAGGAGAAAAATACTCCCAAATACTCACTAATTTCTGTAGCTCAAGCAACCAGTTACACTATTTATAATAACATTATATTAAATAAATAAAGTGTAAGTAAATGCTGAGATTTGATTAGGTAATAGACGAAGGAAGGTAAATTAATCAACATCAGCAACAGCAAAAGAAAATGACATAACTATGGTAAATATTGGGGGGGTCAAAGTTGAACTAAGATGACTACAAAGGACAGTTTGGGTAACTCTGACTACTTCACTTTGTTTCCTCTGTTCAATTTAGAATAAAATTAAAATTTCTCCTCTTCTCCAACAACGCCCTCAGTGATATGGCACCATCATACCTTCAAGAGCTCATAGTACCATATCGCTGCACTAGAGCACGGTGCTTCCAGAATTCAGGCTTATTTGTCATCCCTAAGTTCTAAAAGTAGAGTAGGAGCATGAGCCTTCAGCTGTCAAGCTCCTCTCCTGTGGAATCATCTCCCAATTTCAGTTTCAGAGGCACACACCCCCTCTGTGTTTAAGAGTAGGGTTAAAACTTTTCTTTTTGATAAGGCTTATAGTTAGAGCTTGCTCAGATCTGTCTTGGACAAGCTGTTAGTTATGCTGCTATCGGTCTTGATGAAAAACAGAGCTTCTCTTTCCTCTCTTCCCTCCTCATCACATTAATTACTCATCAAGACATGTTATTGATTGATTGATTGATTGATTGATGTGGTACTTACCAAATGCCTGAATGCATTCATTTAAAAGAGCATTAAGAGATGCTGCCTTTCCCAATGTGGATGATCCCATAGTACCAAGCTGAAAGTAGGACAGAGGTCAGCACTTCTTCACCACAGTTCTGGAACAGTCAGGATTGTCTTTGGGGCAGGAGAGAGAAAATCATCAGTCAAAGTAAGAGAACATTTTATGAGACAGGAGTGAAACAAGTTATCTAATGAAGCATTTCTTCTTTTAAATGTATGTATTTATGTAGATGAATTTAGCCAAAGAGTAACAGTAATCTGTTTGGAATCTTTATATGTCCACTTGAAACAGAAACAATGGAGGCATTCAAAAATTCCGTACACTCGCCAAATACCCTTAACTATACACTATAAGTTAGAGATCTTATAAGTTATTATAAAAAAGTGTAAACAATATAAAAGTGTGTCAGGACAAATGAGACTATAGCAGATTGCTACAATGTTGATAATTAACAGGAAATACTGAAACACTGTTGTAATTCCCATTGAAAAAACAACATTTCATTGAGCAGTGGTCACCAACCTTTTAAAGCACACGATCACTTTTTAATTCCAAACATAAGTCGAGATCTGCCACCCCAATATCTTGCAAAAAAACACTTAGGAGGGTCATTTTTAGTATTTTGGCAAATTCCATTAAAGGCTCAATGTACAAGCATACATATACACAAAGAGAGGCAGTTATGCTACTTTATCTATTCAGTGCACAATATTCACATTAATATTATCAATTCATATTTACAGCATCTGTTCAATGCACACTATTTAGCTTCTGACTTCAACAATATGTTTTGCAGAGTATCTGCTACTGCAGCAGCACAATGTTTTTGCATAGGCTTTGCATGGATAATGGCCATAATTATGAGTATTGTCCTGTGTACTCAAATAAATACCAGCTCTATACAGTATGAAGCCATGCATCTTCCGCTCCTCCAAGTATTTCACAATAGAAAAATTTTGATTTGTTGTGACAAATAGTGGTGTTGCAACACAATCTGAAACAAATAATCTTAACGCAACTAATAAGTTCTGTCTGAAGTCATTCATTATTTCCTACATGCATATTTACACCATATTAACTCCAAACACTTAAAAGTATCTTGTGACTCAACAGCGATTACAGACTTGAACAAAAATGTACTTCGAATTTTGCCAATGCTATGCTTGCTTCAAGAGTGTGACCCCTCACTATACAGTAAACTATGCAGTGTTCATTATGTAGGCTAAAGTAAATGGGTGAACAAGGAAGTGCTTCTGAACATAAAGATCTATTTTAAACTTCTTCTTGATTTATTGGACAACCATATGATTTTTATGGGTAAGGAGTAGATGTAGTTCAAAACAAACATGAACAGCAGACAGTCATGTTTCTGCTACCACACTGGTTGTCTGCATGGTCACGTTTACATGTCTGTCACTAATCGTAAAGGCCATAAATGTTAAGTTGCACAAAGACACCCAATGATGTCACATGTACTATCATGAACACATTATAGTAGAGGAATGATATCAAAGAGTGTAAAGGTTCAAATTACATGGATTAAGTAAAGTAATTCAATTGTTGCAAAATTATCAATCTATTGATAAAGAATTAGGCTGATTATTTAACAACGAAAATAATAGCTTCCTCCATGATATGTGTGTCAGGCACACATTTTGAGTGCTGGGGAGAGGCTTTTACAAGGAATTGTCTTTCTCACGATAAGACTGTTTCTCAGTTCAGAGGTTTGCTATGAAGTGTGGCTATAATAACGGGAAAAGTTGGGTTATATGTTTTAAAATGTGAATCTGTTGAGGCACTTTCAAAGTGAGTTTCTAAAGTTTTGAAAACCAACCCATGTCAGATTCAACTAAATAAGATGCACTGAAGTTTGTGGTGCACAACAATTAAAATGGATTCTACATCTGATCCTTTTAACCAAATATGTTTCATAAATGCTGCTCAACATGTTTTTAGCTGAAACAGCATGGTAGGTGTGACCCATCCCTTCATTTTAGTGATATTTCTATCCACAACAAGCTCACTGTATTTCTCCTCATCACCTGCCATTTTGATCCAGAATGGCACTGTTTATATCTGCAGGTTGGCTGTTGCTTGGTAATGATGATATTTAGAGTAGTGTTTCAACAATCAACAATAGCATCTGCTTATATACAGCAGGGATATATATAACGACAACAATCAAAGTTATACTAACAACAGTGAAATGCCTGAATGTAATACAATTCTGCATGTGCTTTTACAGACTTTTACCTGTCTGTGGATTCACTCAATCAATCAATCATATTTTATTTGTATAGCCCATATTCACAAATCACAATCCATCTCATAGGGCTTTAACAAGGTGCGACATCCAACCCGTCGATCTCGATCTACTGGTCGATCTCGACAGTCTTCGTCGTCGATCTCCGTAACTCTCTGGACTCACAGTCTGCAGTTGCACTGCAGATTAGCTGTGTTGTCGGTTGCCTGTTGTTCACATGTGCTGTGTCCACTACTGGCAACAGAGTTACTGATTTATCTCCTGCATTTCCTTGAATACAAGTCGGGTTAGGTACTAAACCAAATGTCAGGACTATATGGTCTGAAGTCCTGCATCTTCTGGTCTGTCGATAACTATCGATAACTAATTATTTGTGACATAGACACATGGTCAAAATAAAAGCATTCCAGCATTTCTGTTGACCAAATCCATTCTTTTGTTTAAAAAGGTTTTTTTAATGTGAAATATTTGCAGGAGGGGAAGATGCATGGCTTCATACTGTATAGTGTTGGTATTTATTTGAGTACACAGGACAATACTCATATTTATGGCCATTATCCATGCAAAGCCTATGCAAAAACATTGTGCTCCTCTGCAAAACATATTGTTGAACTCAGAAGCTAAATAGTGTGCATTGAACAGATGCTGTAAATATGAATTGATATTATTGTGAATATTGTGCATTGAACAGATAAAGTAGCATAACTGCCTCCCTTTGTGTATATTTAAGTCCCGTTAAATCTGAAAAATCTGGGGATGCATTTTAGTCTGGAAAGGCAGAAACTGATACCTTTGGTCACACAGATACCCCTGGTATCAGTCTAGACTTGACTAAAGTAACAAGATTTAATCGCAAACAATTGCAGTCAGTAACTTTTCCACCTTGTCATCAGTCCAAGAAAATAAATTCTGCTCTTTCCACCTCACTGTTGCTGTTTTACCTTCATAGTATTTTCTGCAACTCAGCAACCAACTGCAGAGTATAAACCACTTCATGTTTATCGATGTTTTCTGGAAGCTGGTGAAAGGAGAACTCAGGCAACAGCTGATGTCTTCTGCAGAAAATTTTAATGTAGACATCAAGTCTGAAGATGTCTCCCACAACATCCCCATATATCTTCCTTTACTCGTGTCACCCATCAACAGCACATCAATGAATGGCTAGAACTGCTGTCACTCTATGTTACATGTAGGTGTTCTCATCCTATTGGGTATTTAAGTCTAAATATGCATTCCTAAACCACATTGTGTCCTTACGTCTTGCAACTGGTGAAATATGTCTATAGTTAGAGCTCTGTGGATTGGGCTTGGTGCCTGTTTCACTTGTGTCCATGACATCGCAGCTCGGCCTGCTTTCTGTTTGGCTCCCAGGCCGCTCTTCTTGGTTTAGACTCTGGATCTCAAGGATAATCTCTTTGAACCCAGACTTGTCTACAATCTTCACTGAACCCTGTTAAATCCTCTGTGTCTCTGCTCACTAGTCCAGACAAAAACCTGAAACTTATGTTATTTTTGATAATTGCCATGTTAAACTGTGATTTTATGACTTTATTCTACTGCCTTGTGAAGAACTTAACTTGTGAACAACTACAATTTGTTTTTTTAACAGTGCTCCATAGATAGATAGATTATTATATTAATATTATTGTTATATTATATGGGCATAATATGGGCTACACAAATAAAATGTTATAAAATGATTGATTGATATGTGTTGAAAGATGTATATAATGTAAAATATATTCTGCAGTATACTATTAATATATCCTTGCAACTTTTCCATACTGTAAACTACAGTATATTAACCCATATTTCAATAATATAATTGTCTCTGTTATATAAACTGAATGATAATGATAAAGTTATTACTAATTATTTTGTTATGCTATTTCAGAGTATAGCATGAGACCTTACATCTTTAAAAAAACATGGCAGATGCAGGATTTCAACAAAAAAGGCTCATTATATAGATCATGTTGTGAATTAATCCAGATTAGTAACCAGGAAATGATCAAAACCTCTATGCGCTTAGTAATCATGGATGGATTCTCCACACAATGTGTTACATAATCAGTTGAAAAGGCTACTTTGGCTGACAATGAATCTTCACCAGAACAGGATTGAATCTAGTCCAGTCTCAATAAAACTAAAATCAAACCAAATTGTGGTTTGTTGACACGCTGGGCCGCTTGGAATATCTGTAACATAGGAGGATCAGCAGCCAACCACATCATCCTGGCAGCTGAATGAAGACTAGCAGTGCATTGTGGGAGCTGGGGGCTTGGACCTTATAAGGGCTCAGTTTCTAATCAGCTGCCATCAGAGGCTAAAAAGACGTCACAGGCCAGTATCTAGTTCATTCTGTAATACTTGAAACAACATTAGCAATCATTGTGTCTGTGTGTACACGCTGAAAAGAATGAGGGCATTGTATAAAAGAAATGTGTAAATGAACAGGAGTAATCTTAGATGTGGTAATTCCTAGTGTGTCTGGTGATTTCAACACTAACATCACCACAAAGTTCTTATTGATAAGGAATTGGAGCACAGTGACATAACTTTTGACTCTGCCAAATTCTGAACTTTATTTATGTGAATGCGAATAGAATGCTTAGCAAATATGATGATTCGTGAATTGCAGAGACGCTGCTTTCAGTAAATATATATGACAGTTTGTAGATTAAGTTACTGATGGAAAATTACTATATACACCCAAAGCATTAATGCTTTTATCATGTTGAATAAAGGCCACTATGGTTACTAAATTTCCACTGCAATGCGGATGACACCCAGTTATACGTATCAATAAAACCACAACAGTTTAATCAATTAACTAAACTTCAAGCATGT